CATGAGAGAAAGAGAACTAAGGAAACTACAAACCGATGAGGAATGCTTTCAGCAAGTACTGCTGCTTGCCCCCAACTCCACTTTGAATCTCAACCTTGACTAAATACAACCCCATCGTACCTGTGGTTGGTGCTGTGTAAGACTCACTTCAGAGATATTCTATCTCAAAAAGCCGAATCAAAATTTTCCTTAACCTAAAGGTCTCAGAAGCCAAAGAACCCAAGCTCACTAGCTCTTTCTTTGTCAAATGTTTCAAAATATTGGTAGATAATGGTCACGGCGAGCAAGATTCCGGTTCCTGAACCAATGGCACCCATAAAGTCTGCCACGACTGTCAGTGCTCCGATACACATTCCACCGAAGGCGGCTGCTGTTGGGATGTACCGGTTCAACTCTTTTTGCAAGTTTGACTCACGATGGCCAGGCATCACCATTTGTTGTTCCTGACCACACACAAAACAAATCCAAGTTATGTGACTTCATCTCCAACATGCAACCCCAACTGCCGAATCCAACCAGCACAAGTGCCTTCAATCCTTCAACAAAATCGTCACACGACTTGAGGGGCCAACAAACCTCGACCTCCGTACTCCTGATGCATGACGTCACAAGTGACCAATTTCTCTCGAAGTGACACAGATTTTACGCTCAACCAAAAAATTTAGTCTCACCTTGAGCTGCTTAGCGACGTCCCTTGCTGAAGAACCAGAAACTTCAATCCATGTCTTCGAGAAAAGGGCGCAAGCAGTCAGCATGAAAGTCAAGTAGAAAAGAGCGTGGAAAGGATTGGCAGCAATGTCGCCCAAACTGCAAATTGCACAAGTGGAGAAGCTGGTCAGCAAGCAGTAATGTATGATACACGTATGAATATATGAAGCGATAGACAGGAACCCAAGGCTGAAAGAAGGGATTGAAATGATAGACCTGACTGAGAGTGGTGACAACTCGTAACATATATACCGATAAATGTATCCGAATCAGAAACAGCAATCACACAGAATGATTACTCAGATGTTACCAACCTTGAGGGGGGAGTAATGTAGTACACCAGACCTCCCACAGGGATCAACTGAGCACTCTGAGAATACTCAGACTCCTTCCATTTTCCAAGGAGCTGGACAAGGAAGACACCGCTGTATTTCTTGTGCAGAAGCTGAAACCAAGACAAGAATGAAATTAGTCCGATCCGATCACCGCTGCTGTAAGAAGAAAAATGTCAAGGATGTGCTTTGCTGACATTGACCATTGGTTGAAATGACAGGCTTCCCTTACTCCGTGAATTCCGGAAAAAACAAATCAGCTTGCGGCAGAATCCCACCCCTACTTACTGAACTCAATACCCTTCAGTACTTAAGACGGGCTGTGAACCGACCTGGGAGATGAAGTAGAGATTGGACACGAGTGCTGACTGCAGAATAATGGGCATGTTCGAGGTGTAGAAAAGCTTGATCGGGTATGAGCCTTGCTGCCCGCGGGCACTTCTCGACCGCACCGGAAGAACCACGCGAAATCCTTGAAAGTAAATTACGATCAAGAACACCAACACCGTGGCCAGCAAATTGGTGACATTGGGAAGGTTCGTTCTGTAAAATGCTTCCTTCAGAGCTCGCACTTTATCAGTTCTCGTGATCAAAAGGTGGAACAAGGCAATCACGGCTCCCTCGAACTCAGCACCACGACCACTGTTGATGGTGGTAGGACTGAATGCCTTCCAGATGATGTTCTCGCTGCCAACAAAGGGAAAGTGTCAGAACCTTTATCTCGGCTCCCCACAAATAAGATATTACGAATACGGCAAAGCACACAATCCCGACATGGTATTGTGAGGACTTGCAGGGGCAAGTCCACACACCGGTTCTCCATAATCACGTTCACCCGACGAAGACCCAACCTGTCTGACGTTCAAAATGTGTGAAGCAAAACGATCAAATCGAAGATAAACTATGATTACCAGATGTTGGTCGCAATAAACAGGGAGATTCCAGAGCCTAGTCCGTAACCCTTCTGGAGCAATTCGTCGAGGCAGATTACGATGATGCCGGCAAAGAACAGCTGAACAATGATCAAGATGGCATTTCCTGCTCCCAAATTTCTGACATCACCATACATCCCAGACAGAACGTATGCCACGGCTTCTCCGATGGTGATCATCACTCCTAGCAACTTTTGGGCACCGTTCCTAAAATGTAGGGAAATCAGCAATTGTTTCGCAATTATTAGAAGCTTGAAACCACAGTTTACAACCAATTAGTTACAAATATGAGCTGAACAGTGGATAGCTTACAGTTGCAATTTTAAATCGGTTCTCGCATGCGATGGGCAGATCGTGGATGTGGCATACTACACAGACAACAATACATGGACTTTTGATAAACGGTTCTTTCAACACACTGCAAATCACTTGGTGGAGAGTTAACTTACAGAAGAGCGCGGTCCTCCTTGACACTGTTGTCGACCTCGATGATCTTGGAACCAGCCAAAAGCTGCATGACCAAGCCGGATGTAACGATAGGGGTGATACCGAGCTCCATGACTGTACCCCTGTTGGAAGCCAGAATAACACGCATCCAGTAAAAGGGGTCCGACCCGCTCGCCGAGTGGATCCCATAGAGAGGAAGCTGACTACATACTAAGAAAATGAACAAAGAAACAACAGTGTACAAAACCTTCTCTCTGAACGGGACCTTCCTATCAGCAGTCTGGACCTCAGGTAGCACTGACAAAAACGGCCTCACAAGATGCAACACTCGAAACCCTCCCCCTGCCATTGTTGCCCTCTCGAAGGAACCCTCAGCTTCCTAATCGACCTAGACAGGCAAAATATCGAGCTTTTCCTCTCGACTCCCCGTGCAGTCCATCCCTGTCACTATCCTCCCCTCGACAACCACGAACCCGTAGCCAAATCGAGCTCGCACTGGGCGATGAAGGGCTTCATAAACGCAACAAATCTCTCCTCAGTCCGTCATGTCCAATTGCTTGAAAAAGCAGAAGGCCGATTGGCGAGACCAGCGGACGCGAGGAGCAGTCGGCGAGCGATGGGAAAGACGGCAGCAGAAGCAGAGACGAGCGATGGGGAAGACGAGAGGATCACTAGGACCCCGAGAGGCACGACCACGACTGACCCTCGGCCGTCTGCACCGCCGGCCGGCCGGCCGTGCCGGTAATCGGAACCGGCTGTAGCGGATCCGGTCCTGGCAAGCCGCGTTGTCGGCCACGGCCACACTGGCTCCGACGTTGTTCCGCTCGTGTTTATCTGCTGACTGCTGGTCTCCGAGCACGAGCTCCACCGCACCGTCTCCGCTTCTTACTATACTGTACTCCCAGACGAATTGTCCCATCCCGACGTCCCACAGTTACTTTGTCTTCGTAAAATTAATCATTCTCTATACGTACTAGATTATCATGTTCTCCGATTAACTGCATAAATGGCAAGCAAATGACATCCTGCGTAGTATCACTACTACCTCAAACTAACTGTATATCGATGATTTATGAACCTACAAAATTCACATAGATGTGTAGGTTCAGACCCACTTGTATTTGAACGTGAAACCCAACTAAAGAGTCTTATTTATTCTTTATGGTAAAGAAGATATCTAATCCGCAAAACAAAATCCAGAAGAAGTTAAGTTACTAAAAATAAATATGTCGGTCAAAACAGATGAAATCCGATTTCACGGTAGACGATTAGGATTAATCTGGATGATGGAAAATAATCACATGCAACACATACAAAAAGATTACATATGATCACGTTTGATTCCTCATATATGTAAGAGAAATCTTTCACCTACGTAAAATTGAGATAACACTGTACAGTATAGTACCACCAAGACTCAATCAGCTGAAAAGATAAATATAAAACTCTCACCTATTATCATATAGACCATTTCTATCAACAATGGTTATTGACCAAATGTGATGACTAATCGGATGATCTTAATATCCATTGAATTAGGATAGTTTTAAGAAATTTACTTATTATGGTAATTTAAACATAGGATATCATCATGATAAAATATGATGTTTCATGGCACTTGAGACTCTTTCAAGTGTGCTTGCTTGTCGACAGTATCATATGATATAGCCTCATCCATGAAAAAACTTCACCGAATCATGACTATTCAATAGCACAATAACATTCAAGATTGGAGATTAGTTTACTTTTTAACAAATAGACTTCATTCTAGATAATGTTCATAGCCTTGAGCATGTTTGGGATGTGTTGTCAAATGATATTTTCAGTCTTCTTATATACAATTCATATTATGCTTTCATTGCTAATGATGTAGATATGTATGAACAACAGAATTTGCATGATACTATGAATATTTTGTATCTCATGTAGAACAACAAGAAAAACTTAATGATCATAAATTCTCTATTCTCTATTTTACTTTAAATTAAAGAGATTCAAAACCAACTAGAGTATATATCTATTTTCTGCAGTATTTTCATCTCAAATGGTATGGTCAGGTCAAATGGACCAACCTTAATGAAGCAAGTATTTCTTATCGTGTTGACCTCACTCAACAAATAACGAATCGAAAGACCACAGCGGCAATCACCACCTGATTGATGCAGTGCGAGAGCAAAATTTTTGCGTTGTGTGTGCCAGACTTTATCAATGCACATATACAAACCTAGCCATTTATCTTATGTCGATATTTGTATCATTAAACCTCGAAAACATGAGTTGATTTGAAGGTTATAACTACTTTCGCAATGAAACCATATATAAACTTGTCTTCTCTTGAACCCTCTAATGGGACGATAGGTAAGTAATAAATACGTCGGATTCTAACTAATTTGTTGACAAAAAAATGACGTCTCAGTTTCTAATTTCACGGTGGACAGAGAAATGTGGAGTGAGTTCACAGGGCATATAATATTCTAATATGTATGACTTTATCGGTGAATTTTGGCGGCCCATGGCAGGAGCTTAAAGGTATTTGACAAACAGAGGCATAAGCAACTGAAATAACGTAACGTGCAAGGGGTTTAGGTTCACGGGGCATAAACCCTAAGGTGCTCTCCCCTGCACTGTCCGTGGTTCCCCGTTCGTTTCCGAACATGAGCATTCAAACAAATCTTCAACATTCAAAAGTTTTGTCAAGTTGCTGCTGATCAGTCGACGTTTTCTCGAATTTTGAGATGATGGGTGGTTTGGAGGCCTATGAATTACGATTGATTCGTTGTTTTCTTGGGGGGTCGAGAAATGCTGACGCATCGCATGCTGGAGATGAGAGAACTGAGATTTCTCGTTTCGCTGAGGCGGATGATTGCATCGATGGGACTGGAAATTTTGAGGAAGGGATCCGAGAAGTCGTCGCCTTTATCGAGAATGGATTCTATGCAAAAGCTTTGGCGTCGAAATGGGTGTCCACTTTGTTTGGAGATCTGCCGAAATTTGATATATCTGGTACGAACGGGAAGGATGGTGCCAAATTCTTTTACGAATTCGTAGAATCCAAAGTAGCAGGCACTTGGACTTCTGAAATCGATGGAGCCACAACTGACGAAGGAGGAGACCATCGGGCAGTTCTAATTTTATCGTTGGGAGTTGCTGCTCTGTGTGCCTTCGTTCAAGCTAACATGACTGGGTCAGTTTAATTCAGGCCCCGAAGAATCAGCATTTGCTTTTTCTGTAGCTATAGGTCTGTTGATTCAAAAATCCGCGGAGGTGATGGGTCACAACCAGTTGTGTCTTCCCCAGTTGTTACTGCATAAAAAGTGTCTCACTGTTGCCAGCTTCAATTTTCCTCCCGTGGTACTTGATGGCTTTGAACTGCACTTACCACACTGTATCCTCCTTCCAGGCCGACCGATCAAAAATTATCATGCTCACCTTTTACGTCCGTATTGGAGGGATGTGGTGCTCCACTGGGGTATTTTGACAAAGAGTGGGATTCATGGGCTCGTTCGCAGCTGATGATCGATGGTTGTGATCTCATCGGGAAATTTGATCTTCCTCAGGTATAAAAAGTGGCTGGAAAGAAATCTGGTCGTAGGTTCTGTATAGAGACTATACTAGAGTCGACGAGTGCATGTATTGTAGTTCGCATTGCTTCACTCAGGACAGTTGCTTCAGACATTGCGATAAATCTTGCAACTGATGGTAGCTGGTGTGAAGATGGTTTTGTGCTTATCTGGCATGAAACGAACTCCAGGCATATGAAATGAATGAACAAAGTTGGTGTGCAGTATCTGATACTCGCCAAACTCTTACTGGTGAATCCAGCAGAGAGAATGGTCAAGACGCAAGAGTCTAGAAGAAATGGACCCAAAACTTGGAGTTGGTGGGGTCTTCGGGCGTTGATGATGCAGCAACGGGTGTTGGCTGAGCGATCGCCTTCCATTCTATCCTTGTGCATTACCTTTTCGAAGGAAATTTCTGAGAAGTTTGGTACACATGAGGCAGTACAACAGCTGGGTTGGAACCTTCGCTCGCAAGAGGCGAAAAATCTGACTGCAGCCGTCCACCTAGAAGTCGGATTCATGGAGCATCTATACGGGCACAACGATGCAGCAAGGTGGCATTTGGAACAAAATTTTTCGCACATGAAATTCGTGTCTATAGAGTCCTTTCGAGGAGCTATCGAGCTGTCAATATTATACTAACTAGAGAAGGACGTTGTTTGTAACTCCGCCAGGGAATCTTTCGACAAAGCTGGTGGAGCTTGTGGGCTGGAGTTTGAGATCACAGGTGTCCTTGGTTATCGTACTAAATACCAGGTAGGCCTGAGAGATCGTAGTGGAGTTCATGTGGATTACATGTACGTTTAAAGTTGTTCTTCTTTTTCCTTCTGTGCCGTGCTGATGCTGGTGTAATTCTTCGACGCTAAGAAATGATCTGATGTAGCAAGATGCCTGAAAAATTGAAGGTGAATGGTGAAGGCTTGTCATTATTGTCAGCTTCTTATTTCTATGTACGCTCCGAGATTTTTCCAGGAAGAGGCTAAAGCTCAGATGGTTCTGCTCAAAAAAACTGTGCCCACAGAGGAAGACACTTGGCTGGACTTCCTGGACGGTGTTGAAGTCAAACATCAAGAACCAGAATCTGACGTCGAAAATAGTGAAATTCACCTTGTTCCAAAGCTCTTAGAATCCAAGGACTCAACACAGTCTGATAACTTGCAGTCAGTAGACAAGAAGGGTCTCAACTCCATTGAGCAGGCTGTTGTTTTAGCTTGGTGCGTGGATGTCAAGAAGAGCAACCCTGAAGATGAACTGCGAAGTGTGTAAATTACTATACTTGTCGTGTATCAGTATATTTTGCTCTTGAGTTGGGTGAATTCTGGTGTAACTAGATCAAATGTATCGTGGAACTTGAGTGCGTATAATTTTATTTCGAGCTCATGGTTCATGAGACGCTGCCTTGGGTGTCCCTAAAGTGCCATTTATTTGAAAGTTCAAGAATTGTTACTGGTTTTCTGATATTTTCTTCTTCCTTTACAACCCTTCGTAGGTTGGCAAATGGCTCCATATATCGAAGCTATTGACGAGCAGCAGCGATCACCCTTTATGGTGTGGTTTGTTGCTATTACCCGAGACGTTACAAATCTGTTATCGACGTTATCGACATTTTGTTTCCTCATCTTCCTTATAAGTTAATTCGATCGATATGGCTACTGTTAGCTTCTAATTTATCCGGATATAATGTCCGAAATTTGAACAATGTGCTAACCGTAGCTTCTACGTTATTTAAGGTGAAAGTATGGTGTCAGCTTCTACGCATACGGTGGGAGGCAACGAGAACTCGGACACGCGAACGCGCATTTCTCATGATGGAGAAACTGGTGAGTCAACCACTCTTGTCCGTAATTTCAGTTATTCATGATGACCGAGGTACAGAAGTGAACCTTAATGTCGACAATAAGGGTCATCTCCGTTTGAGCTTTGTGACCTTATATTTCGACATATGTTCAGCTTCATATAAGACGTTCTCTGGCTGGTAATGTGTTACGATTAATATTATGTCAAGCTTGTATGGGACTGTTGGGCGCTAGAACCTTGAATACGTTGTGCATTGTGCGTACTAGCTTTATCTTCTCCTAGACTTTAGATACGAAGACTGTCGCATTTAGGTGATATTCCCGTTCCTTCTATGAACACGACTATTCTACGTCTGTGAATAGTTAGAAGCCAAATTTCCTGATGCTCATTTTGCGAAACTTGACTCCCTGGATATTTTGTACCAGACTGATGATATGCGTCGAGGAGATCTGAAAGTATCTCAAAGAATGCTATATGCGTTCTGTGTCCCATTCCCTATTTTAACGGCTCTCCTCAAGTAAGAATGACTCTTCATGATTTTATTCCAATCGCCAAGTTTTGTTAAATGGATATGCCTTTGCATGGGGTTTACAGTGGATCTTTTTCGGCCGAGTCACGGTTGCCTTAAAAAAATCTCCTGGAAAGGAGGATCACGTAGTGTCAGTAGTTGAATTATTTTTACTTTCGGACTGAAAATGCCCGTGTTCATCCTCCTGAATATCTGTTACAGAGAGTATGCAGAGATGATGGTGAGGTTTGGTATCGTGGGTGATGCTTTGAGGTTATTTGAGGAGCTGGAAATGTGGAACAGTCTCATTGATTGCTACTGGTAAGTCAACATTGTAGAGACAGTCAGTTAGAAGTTTGTGAGCTCAAGCTAATTATGGAAGTCCAACGACCGCAATTATACTAGCACTACGAGGGCTTTTCCCTTTATGCCTAGAAGTCTTCTTGTTGTCACGGTCTCTAGTAAAGACTTCATCGTTTAGATTCTCAGCTATTATAGAATTATTGTACTTTCGTCTGGCTTCAGCTTCCACTTGTCCGGGTATAGTTTGTAATAAAAAGTAGCTAAAAGTAGACACGTCGTCATGTTTCTGCCTGGTCTTGCGCAGTCTACTTGGGAAGAAGGCTGCAGCTGCAGATCTCATAAGAGAACGTCTCAAGGTGCAACCTGAAGAACCAAGACTATGGTAAGAATTTATCTGATTCTCGGACCTCAACAGTGTGAAGGTAACCCGGACAGGCCACATACTTCACACCCTAGGTTTTTCCGAGTGAACCTTTTTGACTAATTTCGTAAATTAGTTAACACTTCTGTAACTATTTGCACCCATCACCATTTCTGCTCGAGGTCGACATCAGCATATAATGTTTTAGCAGTTAGAAGGTTGTCTACGGAACATCTGCGATTGAGCTGTTATAACATCTTCCATAATGTTCGATGTTTTGCTTAACATCCCACTAAAGTTTGACTTAACTCCTTGAAGTACTATATCAGTATGTCAACTTTAGCTAAGGCTATGTACCTGTCTCTCTGAACATTCTGAAATATATGGCACATTTGTGTTATAGGTGCTCGCTGGGGGATGTTATAATGGATGACGAGTGTTATAATAAAGCATGGGAGTTCTCTGGTCATCACTTCGCTCGTGCCCAGGTAAGGATCGTCTCTGCTGAAGCCTGTATGGGGGTTTAAGGCAACATTCTGGAAAAAATGTGGTTATTTGCCAAGAACTGAAAGCTCTTCACTTGACCATGTTAAATCCGTAAGGTGTATGTTCAGATTTGTCAGGTTCAAATGTAAGAGGAATACAGAGGCTACTTTGTAACTTTCATTCATTGAATTTTGTGAGGCTACTGACTTACCGTTTTGAGTTGTCTTCTCTAACTTGCAGCGATCTCTTGCGCGTACAGCTTATCATAAACATAACTATATGAAATCTATTGAACATTGGTAAGTGCAAGCCTAGTTTTTTAAATCAGGAGCATTTAATTAGTCCTAGATAACCTAGATGTGGATAGGAGGGAATTCTAGTTCGGAAGTGTGAATAATAATATTAGTTTTGTGAAGTGGAGATAATTTACCTACAACTTCGTATTTTGGAGTTTATTGAAGCAGGCGACACTAACTTACTATCACTTTCTCTTCACAGGGATTTAGCGCTCTCATTGAATCCCCTACATCCTGACGGATGGTTCGCCCTTGGGTCTGCAGCAACCAAAGTATGTGCTCATTGTTCTTCTGACAGTCCAAGTTCATGTTTTATAGTTTGTTTATTGAAAACCGCATGCTTGACATTCTCTGAATGTTTGATACAATAGATAATGATTTTGATTGTAATTATGTTTCCAGGCCAAGGATCTAGACAAAGCTATACACGCTTTTACCCGACAAGTACAACTGGATCCAGAGAATGGCGAATCATGGAATAACATTGCAGCTATGTATAGTCCTCAGCCCTTTTCTAGCCCAGGCAGCGCTTTACAAAGTCTCGTTATTGTACTGCGGTGGATCTGAGCATACAATTACACAATCCGGATAGAGTTCGGTAGAGCTAAATCAACATCAAATTATTGAACCAATATCACATAAAGCACTCCCACAACTTTGTTTCACACATTGATTACCAGTTGACACTTGAACAATTTGGGATAGTGAATAACTGCTTTTGAATTACCTGCGAAGTGAGTAGTATTCACAAATATTAACTGAATCCATTGAAGTCGCGCCTTTAGAGAGACAGATGAAGCCTTCAGTCTATTGTTGCTTGTTTCGTTTTCTGATGCATATAGGCTTCACGGTGCTTATCAATCCCTCATCCTAATGCCTTTGAAGATATATATGCTTGGCAGATAAGCTCCTCCTTATGGTTTGATTATTGATAGCACTGTGGTGTACATGCAGTAACATGCAAAAAAAACGGAGCAAGGAGGCGTTTGCTGCATTTCGGGAGGCACTAAAACTCAAGTCAGTTTTACTTCTTGTCATGTGCTGTTTAATCGTGCATGGTCCTTAAAATACGGATTGCAATGTCCTCCTTTTTTCCCGCGCATACTTAATCACAAACACATAGCAGTTTGTTGACAATCCGAATGGCGGCAGGCGTAATAGCTGGCAGATGTGGGAGAACTTTGCTCAAGTTTCCTTGGATGTGGCCAACTTTAGCCAGGTGATGAACAGCACTTTCTGCAACTAGCGTTTTTTTGTTATGTCGCAAGCTTTTCATTCTTGCCTCACGTGAGCTGTTTGTATTTCTGAAACGTTCATTTGATTTAAGATCAACAGTTTTATTCTCCTTTGGTGTGTACAGGCTATTCTTGCTCTGGAGAAAGTACTCGATCTTTCTGAGGAAAAACGTGTAGATATAATTGCTTACAGACGTTTGATGAAGGAGTTAGAAATTCGAAAAGGTTTACTCGTACGCCCAAAAACAAATTCATTTAAGGATACGGATGAAAATCGTGACGCTGAAGATGAATTTGACTCGCTCTCATCTTTGGGTTTACCATCACCAGCCGTCGCTTTTTCGAGTAAAGAGAACCTTCCTGAAGGGGATACCCAAGAACTGTCACCATCTGAAAGTGACAGTGGGAGCCTTGTTAGTTCTAAGGAAACAGACATGTTGCTAGAGAAGACTGGGAAGTTGCTTTCACGGGTAAGACATGTCTTGACAGAAAAAATAAATTGTCCTTTGGTTAGAATGATGTCATTGTTAGCTTCTGTTTTTGTGGTCCATTGGAGCTGATAACATGTCAAGTTCATTTCAAGGTATGGCCGGATCTTCCGTACGTGGATCACGTGATAGATACACCTGAAAGTTAAAGAAAATAAAACTTTACCTCTTTTTTTTTCATGCTTTCCTCCATGTATTTTAGATCGTTGCGAGAGGGCAAGGGGGAGGCGAAGTGTGGGGCCTCAAAGCACGATGGCATCAAATTATGGGAGATATGGACATGTGTGTCGAGGCTTTGCTCAAGCAGGTTCGAGCGTATCAGGTATACGTAAATCCGACGAACTTTTTAACTTGCCGTCTTGGAAGTCAGATTTATTATCAAGTATCAATTTAGTCCTGTTTTGAAGACGGGGTTGTGTTTTATTTTAGGGCTCAAAATGGCAAAGCAGCGAGGAGAACTTTGAAAAGTTCGCGAGAGTATCCCTTCAGCTTTGTGAAGCGTACTTAGAGATGGCTCTCTCAGGAAGTGGAAAGCGCGAGCTTTCTGCGGCGCATATGCTTTTGCGGAATACAATCAAGCAAGTGCGTGTACTCTGTACGAATCCTGTTTCATTTATTGCATGTCGCATGACTCAGGACATAGTCTGCAATTCTAGTTGTACGTTTCGCTTCTCATTATCTCTGAGCGTGTGCTTGTTTTCACCATTCGGGCATATCCTCATCACTTGCGGACTTTACTCCTTGCAGGCAGAGCCCTTTAACAACACTCAACAGTTCAAGGATTTAGAGTCATGCCTTCTCAAGGTCAAAAGCCTCATGCAAGCTATTTGAATTTTCAATATCTAGCTCTATTCTGAACAGGAATTTGAGGCTCTGAAACCTCCACCATCCAATTTTGTATTTTGGAATAAAATTGAGTCAGAGTTTCTACTTTTAACCTTGTGCGTACAAAACTGAGAAATTCTGGAAATTGCGGAAATAAAAACACCTTGTGATCTTCGCTTGCTCTACGTGTGGATAATCTATTTCCTGAACCTATCATTTTGCCGGATCATGAGTGATGGCTCTTATTTAATCTCGCCATATGACAGTGCCAAGAGTACGGATAAATTGTCCAACGACATCTATACCTCCACACAATAATGATATAGAGCACGTCGCAGGGACTTGTCCAAGGATGCATTATGATTCCCGATACATGTACTCATAGTCCACCCTTGCAGACTCGGAGCGGACGTTGCTATGATCACAAGCCGAGTAACAAGCGGAAGAGACGATTACATTCGTGAGAAATTGCACATCCACATACAATGTTTCTTCTTATTCACGCCGACATGTCAATATGGTATCGAATCTTTACTATCTATTGGATTGTGGGATTTAGATCTTCCAGAAGCGCAAGAGAGATTGGATTTTCTAAGTGCAACTACCGGTAGAAGAAGAATGGGTTGAATGGATGTCAGGCAGAACATCTGCTGTTCTACTATTTGGTATCAACAGTATAGCCACGTTTTCCCCTCGAATGGACAATGAATTGTCACCGACTCCTGCAGGCAAGGTAAAGGATCCACCTGTTACCAAGAGCAGGTGAAGCTTGACGAAGGTTGGACCAATGATTGCTACTTAAGCCCTTGTAAGGTGAGAATAATTTCACCGTGTCAATAATGCGAGTGTCAGGTCATCGGTGTTATGGGGACTCCTCAAGTTCAACGAGCGAGTCAACAACTGGTATACATTACACCTCGCACCCAACCATACAGCGTGCACTGAAGCATAACTTGGCTTTCATGATGCCGAGCAGAACCTGTTATACCACAATGAGCCAAGATTCGAAAAACTACGGGCCCTTCCCGAATTGGAACACACAATTACTGCACTTGCACGATGCTCTTGACACCTCCCTGGACATGAGCGGTATGTCCCTCTATCTCCCTTTGAATCTCGAGGCGTCTCGGAAATATTTTATTCTCCCTAAACAACCCGCCGAATGATTCAGTGCAGTAATTGACTTCGTACTCTTCCACACGATATTCATAGCTATGACAGGCTTTTGATTCCTACACACCAGTCCATCTATTGCTTGTCACCTTCAGCGGTCTGTAACTTTTCATCAGGCACAACTGGATTGAACGAGTGTTGACAGATCGTTATAGCGTCTCAAGGCTTTGGCGAAGGCAGCAGGGAACAAACACTGCGACTTGTGCTTTGTTCATGATTGGAAAGTCCTAAAAATATCGATGCGAACTCCCCTGAAGATCCCACGAAAATACAGGACACTATTGTATGTCCTGCATTTAATGGTTGACTCAGAAGATGATTGGTGTTCGAGATGGACCGAAGCCACTCTTAACCCTCAGTCGTAAGCATTCTCGAACGGACAACAGAACATTGATGCGAAAGTTTCAACTCCCTTTCCGACAGGAGCAGAACGGCAGAAGTAAGATCTGACCACTGCTTAAAAATATAGGTCTCCTGTATTGCCGAGATTCGTCACACACCAAAAAGGCACATTCGTTTTGCTAAATTGGGGTCCATCTTTGATGGAGTCCTCCGATCGTTTTTGCTATCCAATTGTCCGCCATCCACATGTTGATGCATTGCTCCCTTCCTCTAAAAAAGGATCGATGCTCATTTGTTCAATGAAAGAAAAAGGTTACAAACGAGTCATCTTAAGGTGGCTATACACTACGGAAGCCCAACATCCAAATAACATTAGAAATAGTAGGAAGCAATTTCAACCCAATTTCGCATATGCCAAAGCTTGGCTTTACACTACCATCAAATGCAAGTGCTTTCCGACCCTTGTCAGCATGTGACCTTGACATGAAATTTGACAAGTTTCTGCAGTGATATTTTCTAGCCCTGGAGTACGGGATCCTCGTGGAATAAACAGCGTGATGAAACTCCGTTACAGAGACAGAGCAGGCTAGAAAGTATCAAACTCTTGGTTCCCCACGAAAGAAATAATCTATTTCGCGTAATAAAATCACCATGTCTCTACCCAATCCTCCGATGTACCCTACATGGACAGGGTATAACCATCACCAGTCAAAACTATCTTTCTCTTAGTTGTTATATAAGGGAAACGGTTATGTAATCGAATTGATCTGTCCAAGATACTGGATGGAATAAGACAACGATAAATCTGCATCACACCCTCTAACAAACTTTTCGGAAAGGCTTGCGGAATGACATTATGTGTGTCATGCAGTCATCCATACTTGGGGATCTTAGCATTGTGCTCATCTCCACAACTACGCAAGTGCTATGTCAATTACATTTGTGTCTTGAATCGAATTGGTACTCACAGCATCAGCCATATCGACGTGATCCACCATGGGCAAGTGCAGACGGTATAATCCATCCTAGCACGTACGGTTGTCCCATATATGATGCACACATCACTTGATAGACTATTGGAAATTTGAGATATGTACATTGATTTATATGGATAATTTACAAACTCCGATATGAAGCTCAGTTCTCCTAAGAGTTCATTGGCATGACGAAGATTCTTGTCTTGCGACATGAATATGGTCTTTTGACTAGAATATGATATACATGTTCTAGTCAAACAAAAGATAGTCATCACATGAAGCAGCCGCTAGATGAAGGTCGCATTTGTCATGTTCCACTTTAGTATAATTGAATATTATTTGTTCTCATATACTATATCAAAATCTACTATTAACTTCTTTCCCATTCAATCCTCACAATCTAAGCATGAGTATTGTTAAGATTAACTGAATCATATTGTAAATATTGTGTACATATTACAACATGCTGTAAAGACTTGATTCACTTATATTCAATTATCAACTCATTTATCCGGAGTCCCGTTCTAAATTGATTTGAGATCTAAATGTTAATCTCCAGATCAAACATCTTAGTTTGCCATTGAAGAAATACTCACTTTGTAAATTGTAAAGTTATCTTAGTATTATGGAGGAAATTCTGTTAGATTTTTAAAATCTGAAGGAGATGTATATTACACATTGAACTGATAAATGACCCTGCAAAAAGATGGTCTGTCTCTCCCTTAGTAAATAGGACACCACCGGGGATTAAAGATTCCCACGTTTCGTCACTTTCTTTAAAAGGATTTTATAGCTTGGTTTCAAATTGATCATAATGATACAAAGTTAAAAAATTTGTTGAAACTTCTCTTAGCGTTACTTTATTGATATAACCATACGTTATAGCTTTTTGACTTCCAATTAGACCTCTTGATTGGATAGGTAATATTCAGAAATTCCGTTATATGAATAAGAAGCTTGTGAAATTCACTTGAATTCAAAACTTGTATGACATCCAATAACATATAGGAAAAATTGTAATCATGTTAATATCTTTCAAGTCACATGTTGATGAAGCATCTCAGAATCTTGACCATTATAATGTAAGATGTACACAAGTTTTGCTTTATTATCGGTAGCATATTATGATACTTGCATTAGATCTTTTCAACTCATTAATCTGTTTTCATTACATTGAGAACGTAAAGTCAACATGAACAAGATTGACATGATTTTTTGTGTAATTTAGATGTATGTAATAATGATATAAATTATTCCTTAAATGAACGAAATATATATTTGAGACGAAGGTATCATTAGTATGTATTACAAGCAACCTAAAAAATGACGCCAGATTTAATATCGCAATCTTCATTGTGATCACACACTTCATAAATAACGGAGCTGAATAATAATTTTGCCTTATATTTTACTTGCACCAAATATTTTGTTCTTTATGACAATTCGTGTATTTAAAAAAAATATTATGAAATCATTTGATTAGTAGGGTATTGATGCTTGGAATGAAAAATGTTTAGTAGTTAAGTTTAGCATAGAGTACTGACGATTTTGGGGCTAGTGACAATCCCCGATTGCGATGTGTGAGGAGCCATAGCAGCCTTCAGCGGAGGCCAAATAATAGCCAGCATTAGCTGTGGCCGAACTCGAGCGTGCGAGAATTTGCTCGGATCGAAGGATAGGGCGAACTGGTTCTGAAATTCGCCCGAATTGAATCCTGTCACACAGAGCGGCATTCCCTCTCATGCTCGATGGCACTGCAGTGCGGCCGCTGGACGCAGATCCTCGAAAGTAATGCTGTACAGGCCGAACATGGCAGAAGATCCTGCAGATTGCCTGTTCAAATTGCCGCTGCTGCTCCGCGAGGAACGATTCGTGCAAGTCGGGGTTTGACGCAATCGCAGGAGGTCAATTGCTCGCTCAATTGCGTCTTCAAGACCGGCCTTTGGGGAAGAAAGCATTTCGTCCAGGGACATGTTAGGGCAATTTCGGCCAGAGCACCTGGAGCAGGAGCGCGGGCTCTTTTCACTGGACTCGTGGAGGAGCTGGGCAAGGTCCAGGAGCTGAGGACAGTTGAGAATGATGGTGTGGAGATGACGTTTGAATGCAGTGTGGTCTTAGAGGGAACTAAGCTCGGTGACAGCATTGCTGTGAATGGGACCTGCTTGACTGTCATTCGGCTCGATGAGAACAGTTTCGCCGTTGGCTTGGCCCCTGAGACGCTGAGGAAGACTTCTCTCGGCGAATTGGAAATTGGCTCCTTTGTAAATTTGGAGCGCTCCGTTTCTCCCAGCACTCGGATGGGTGGTCACTTCGTTCAAGGTCATGTGGACGGAACGGGCACCATCGTCAGTTTTGAGCCAGAAGGCGATTCCTTGTGGGTTAAGGTGAAGACCAGCCCTGAGATTTTAAAATACATTGTACCTAAGGGTTACATTGCTGTAGATGGAACCAGCCTCACCGTTGTGGATGTTCTTGACAACGAAGGCTGCTTCACGTTTATGCTCATTGCTTATACCCAACAGAAGATAGTGATTCCTTTGAAGAAAGTAGGAAACAAGGTGAATTTAGAAACAGACATTATGGGAAAATACGTCGATAGATTTTTTCAGACTTACCGTGCGTCCGTATTACAGGCTACTTGATCATCACAGCCTGTTGTAACTGTACCTGTTATGTCTAAGTCACTAAATCATTCTTTTTCTGCCTCGTTAATACAAGTTGCAGTTCCACCGCACGGGAACCAGTTCAAGGGCTCAGACAGTCAGTCATTGCATATGTATGTCTTGGATGACGTCTTAGGACCTGGTCACACTCCATGTCAGAAATATCAATCTTGCAACGTATTAGTTGACAAGGTTGATTTGGATGTCAACATTGAGGAACTTCCACCGTGAACTGACCAGACTTGCATTGCGAAAGGACTTCTTGTTCCTGTTCTAGAACTTCTGATTCGTACAGCCTGATGTAGACAGAGCAAGCAGATGTCCGATACGCCAAGCCGGCTGATGGAAGTTGCAGACTCGACTTGAATGTCCATGAGATTTTTTTCACAAAATGCCAGACGGCTGATTGATGTGCAGTGTTGCAAAAGACCTATGTGTACCACATGCTTTAGACTTGTACAAGCCCAGTGGAAGTCTGAAGCACATCCCTTGTACTATGTCCATTATCCAGCCAGGTATATTCTCTTAGATTGATGCCCGTTAAGAGCGGAGGTTGCAAAAATCAGACAAGTATGACTTTAAACAATCGTAGCACCCCGGTTCAAGTCAGTGTGCCTTCTATCACTGATGAAACACGTAGATTGCATTCCGAGAATGTGTTCTACAGAGCTAACTGCCAACTTCAGGACCACTTCGCAGGACCTTTCACGAGGTCCGTTTCCTTGAGAAGAAGATTCCCGATGGTCTCTCACTCTTTCTGATTTAAGTTCCCCTGGTACTCGGTAAATGTCTGTTGTGGGGCTTCAGTGGCAAAGGCCTGGTCTGCACCGATAGCCTTTGTAAGGTGGGTTCCAGTGCAACCACAATATGCACTTTCGTCAAACCTCTCGCTCAGAATAGGGAATGTTTTAACTCCAAGTAGGCTGCAACACGCGTCATTTCCATATCCTTATGTTACAATGGAAGGTTTTGATGAACTCTCAGGATATGACGCTTCTTGGTGAAGATCTTCTGTTAGAAGAATCATAACAAACTCTACATTCTGAATTGGCTGAGACCTTTCCCGCTTTGTATTGTTTTCTAACTCTTCTGACACCTTCCTGGCTAACTTAGCATCAATCCTGGGTCATGATGGACTAGATATCTCACAAGGCTTCTGGGGAGACCGCTTGTGCTTCCAGTGGAGAAGTCCAGCTGATTTTTGGGAGATATTACAGCCAAGATGGAGAGCAAGAAGTTGAGTCTATGGTATGTACGAGGGCAGAGGCACGTAAAGATGCGTTCGCATTATGGAGAAAGGAGTACACAGTACATGCAATCGATTGTACACTGGACAGGTGAAGCGATTGATCTACGATGGAGATCGACGTGCGCAAATTACCACCTCAAGCCCACCAGCCAGTTCAAATATTTTCTAGTCTGTTTAGACATAGAAAGTGGTACAGTCGTGATATGATGTTTCATGGCAATCGGTACAAACAAATGAGTACAGAACGGTTCAATCATCAGATTTTGGTGTAGACCAGTTGGTGTTTCTCTGTGACATACCAGGCAAAACGGACACAGTTCTGTCTCGAGAGTACAGTCCTGGATGTCACACAACTGAACCCAAACACTTCGAGCCCATCCTATATTCTTATCTTATATGCTCAGTCAATAGAGCAATCATAGATCCCCTTGATCCTCGGGTGATTCCTAAATGTGGACTGACTCCCAGGGTGTTCAGATGTCATAACACGAAATCTGGCTGAAGCAGCAACCCAACCCGAGCCACTTACTCTTTTAGAGTAAAGCCCCTCAAAGATATTGTGGGATCTCGAGGGTTCATTACGAGATTATACAACTCGTCACACGGATGAAAGGCCACGAAGAGGTGCTGAACATGTTGACTGACCCAGAAGTGCGAGCCACCAGCAAACACGCGCCTTATCCCTACCCACCCGACCTCGAGTGACGTTAAAGAATGTTAAGCTGGGCAATTAGCTTGAGACCTTCTTGCACCCAGGTTATCACCTTCGAGCCCGATCAGTGGAGCTGACCCGAGCACTCGGTAGTTAGACATTCAGTAGGCTTGCCAGAAGACAGGAACTGCGCGGTGAGCCCTATCGGACACACCGCGGGCCTCGGGGGAATATCTTTTCAATTGAAGGTCGAATGTCCCGATGTCCGAAGAAGAAAGAAGTAAATTTTATTGCAGAGTAGCCTGGTGTTCTTTCAGTCGCGCTATTTCTAACAGATTCCCTCTTTAATCGAGATCTTTGTTATCTTTGGGCTCTAGGTTTGAGACAACACTTAACTCGTGTCATCTACACGCACCAGGAATGTGTTGCCTTTGAGGTGGTTCCAGCTGTGGTTCCGGCTGGCCTCGAATGTCCGGAGGAAGAGAGATTGGGTCCAGGACAAAATGCCTTTGGGAGGAAATCCGCCTAGAGTTTCCAAGGACGATGCAGGCTTCGAAGTTCAACCTTCATCTAGACCGCATGTGCTTTGCAGCTTTTCCCGACTGTTGATACGGAACATATTCTCAGGGTTGAAATGGCGGAAAGATTATATAGATGACCTTTGGGATCACGCAAAGATCTGCATCTACAAGGATTCCTCAAGGCCTCCTTGGCATGTTTGGAAGACATTCTCCTTACTGGAAGAGGATGCATATCGTGTTCGCAGCCAACGTGCACTCAACTCAATCATCTTCAGTCAGTTCATAATAGGAGTAGATGAGGCAAGAGAAGGAGCAGAGAAACAAGGTTCGCCTATGGATAGGGGACTGCAAATGATTCCAGTCACGCAATGCACATACCAACGACTTATGGGCCATGTCTGCCACATCTCTGCAAGGTGATGTCACTTGCGACTAAAGTGGTTTTCCCGCGAAGAGTAGGCAGGGCACTTGTCACGGGCACATGGAGAATATTTCTCGGCAGATTCCTCATAGAACCTAACAGACTTATAAACTTGGGTTTATTCCTTATAAAATTCACTTTTAAATCTGGCCAATATTTTTCGCGAAAAGTACATATCATCCTTGAAACATGTGTCGCCTTTCGGAGTATATTAAAATCAGATCGCCAGCCCCTGAAATGCAATACATGGATCTACAATAGGATCAAGGTTACACTTTATAGATCAGAGTCTGAGACTGCAATGCTGCATTCTGGCAAGGTTGGTGAGATAGAGGTATTGATTATATATGCCTATGTTTCAATACTAGCAATAGAGCCTCCCTTTTTGCCACAGATCTGTTTTCGGAATCCACACTGCGGACCAGAATGAAGGAGAATTTTTATACAATCGAACCCCCACAAAGAGAAGCAGAGAATATAATTTACTTACATGCCCCTGTGGACGTTGAAACATTCAAACGGTGTTCGACCTGCTGACGGGAGCAGATGCGCTCCAGTGAACTTGGTATAATAACCAAATTCGCACATTTTCCCTTCTTATAAAAATATACGCCCCCACCTTCTGAACGACATCTTTATTGTGGCCATATTCCCATGCTATAGCTCGTGGAACAAGTAGTACTCTATATTTCCGGTAGGTGGCAAATGCCATATTCTTTTCACTCGCCAAAGCCCCGGCCCTTCGTGGGTGCTTCTTCAGACTCTGCACTTTTATCACACTGATACCCTCTACCCACAACAGCCCCATGTCTCCTTCACTTCGAGCTTTTTGTGTTTCCTTCTCCTGGTATTGTTTGCCAACCATCTGAAGCTCCCTAAAGGTTTTGTCTGTACACTTCTCCTTTCTTACTCATCTCATCTCCAGTGATGCAAGTTCCAGCAAGGGCCTTGACTGTGCTTATTGGCATTTCCGTAGAGCTTTCTAGATTGCCAACGTGGGACCATTCTCGACGATTTGGGACACAGAGTGCACATGAATTCGTAAGCTGCCCTTGAACTGACATTGCTCACTGAGTCAACGATGTTGATACGCGCTCTAAGTACCATCATAATCTTCATAGTATACAATAGATGCGGACCACACAGCTGACAGAGATGATTCTTGATTAAGCCTTGCAGTTGATGGACTGTAGAAAGCTAACGACGCTATACGATCAGCTTAGAAAGTAATCAGCATCTGCCTCAGCGGGATTCATATAATAATGGTAGGAGACAAAACAAAGACTTTACTGTTATCATGTGCGCGACACAATGTGCATAAAATGATCCTCGTGGAATTGCTCTACTTGCATTTGAATTTCCTTCTCTTACAGTGCTGTACAGTAATCTCTCGACTGGGAGGAATGTGCGTACTTAGGCGAATTAGAACTCTGAATTCAATCAGATTTCAGACTGGGGCATATATATATTTATGTAATCCCCTATTAGTTCCGGTGAGGGAATAGTCATCCAATTTCTCTTCTCTTCGTAGTAAAAACCTACCAACAATTATTAGGAAATTGATGGGAGATTTATATATAACTTTTAGATATTTTGTTCAGTTTAAAATTATAACAATAATTATACAGAATTTACCTAAGCAGGTTTCAGATTTATTATGACACATAAATCAAATTACCAAATGAATTTTAGATGTGTTGTTGAACTTATAAGTTGAACAACACCGAGGCTTCCAATAAAAGTGCTGTAGTTCGCAAGTACAATGTTAGTGGAGTAACTAAAAAAAATGTGTGAGACAACGGGAGCAAATTCCAAAAAAGTTTTGACTACGTATCTGAACCTAAAGAAAATATTTGTCAATCTTGTTGGTTTTTTTATTGAGTTCAAAGAAGTCTTTACATTTGGATTGACATGGCTATTGCCAAAGCAAAAAATATTACATTAATTTTGTCAATTTTGGCTAAATCAATCAGACGATGAGTACTGCAAAAGGAGCTTATCTCAACAAATACTATCATGTATTACTCAAAGTTTTAGTACAATCTGAGTGTTTATTGCCCAATATTATGAGAAAACCTATACAATATGATCCATTGTTGTCTCCAAACACAAGAAAGTTCAAAATGTGCACAAAATTACTATTTATGACACTTTGAATTGAATATATATTGATCCCCATTTTTCTAAGGAAAATTATGCTTCCTTACCGGGGACGCATACTTAAACGGGAGGTTATTGTAATAAGATTTGGGAACGCGAAGATTCAATAATTTCCATCTGACAGTGTTTTGTGAGCCCACTCATTGAAATCTTCTCTTTTGTCTTCAACTCTTCCTTTCGGAATATTATTATTCATCTCCGTGGAATTATATTAATGTCTGTTTCATGCAGGTTGTTTTCAATACCGAAAGACTGTCCTAATAAATGTTGTTATGCGATTACAACCCATATTAAATTCCTGTATGGGACGGACTCTCGTACAAGTTGACTGCCTACCAAAATTCGTATGCATGTACGTCCGTGAAATAGTCTCTTGGGAGTACGCAGGGAAGTGAGTGGTATACATGTGCATTACAAGAAATAATGTATCTGAAAACGACGCAATTGGCTTCCATGAGAACCCGCCCAAAAACCAGCCTTAAATTGCATTGGCCGATACGGTACCCAGATCTAACCATCCAGCACCCGGCGCTGATCATCCGGTTTCCAGGTGATGGATGCCTCATTGCAGCACGCGCCTCAAGAGACTGGGTGACAGAGGACCGGCGGTTCCGAGAGCCTTCGACGAGAACGTCCAACTGCTACCACCGGGCACTAACTACGGTGCAGTGAATCGTGGGTCTCCAAACCTGACCAACGACGACGGGCCTTGCTACCTTGGCGCTCGGTCCCCGTGCTCTTGGCGAACGCTTTGAACTCGGGTCACGGTTATTCATTTTCTCAAATAATGTGCACAGCTCACGTGTATATTGAGGAATCTAACATGCATGGCTACTTATAAATATTATACTGCTCGGTTTTCTTTTTATTTCGCATAATAAATGTTTACAAGTATATAAGAAGATCAGCGCCTTGTAATGGTTGTCTGTACTGTACAGGTGAGGTCGTGATGAACTCCTTCTAGATCGTAAAGTACTGCAAATAACTGTTTGCTTGCCAGGTACAGACACAACTGGTTTTTATTTTTTTCTCGTTTTTCCCCCTTTCCGACCTATTACGAGGATAAGGACCACAAGGTGGAGTGCAACTTACGTGACTTGTAATTGCTCACCTGTACGTGTGCTTGGACGCCTCCCTCCCATCTGCTGCCGAACTCGGATGGATATTCAACTGCACTGTGGCTCGATATCTAGCGCCACGGCCATACGACTGGTAATATCTGGGGTTTCACCCTCCACATACAGTGATGGGGCCTTCCCATCCCTTTTGTTGTTATATACTGTGTCCTCGGTTACGCCTGTGCACTTTATCGGTATGATAGTTGTATTGTACTACTGGTCACGTAGGTATGTCACTTCTACACGAGTACAGTACCTCGAATGATTCCAGAAAAGCATGACATGGCAGCCAGGCTTATGACTTTATGTGCTGTTGAAGAGAGCTCCGGCCGCGAGGGACCGAATTTGTCGCGAAATAAAAAGGAACGGTGGGAGACATGATTCTGGAAAGGCTCACGTGTACTCGTAATTAGTGGCGGTCCGTACGTTCGGGTGTAGATGAGTCATTTATACGGTGTTATCTACTGTGCTTACGTACGCTGCAAATTATACTCCAGATAAACCAGGCGATCTTTGGTGTGTTCTTTGTTGGCTGCAAATGTTTTCTTCAATGAAATCCCTGTTCACATAACCATACGACTCTGTTCTTTTATGAACGAGCCTTCATCAATGGGCAGATGGCTGAATGCGAGCGACGAATATGCTGCTCTACATCCCTTGCTTACTTGAACACAAAACGTGTGCATGGACTGAAGACGGTAGGTATTTAACGGGTTCGTTTAATTAATCAACGGACAAAAGTCCAGCAAGCTTTCTTTCCCCCTTCAAGGTTCGACTGCCTTATACTGTACGTACAATCATGAAGCAAGAGCTGCAAGACTCGTTCCCTTGTGGAACTTCACGCATTCTTTTGGACACTCTGAGATCTGGGACACTCGTTTACGCTTATACTACTTTCAAAAACTTATTCCCTTATTCTTTTATCTCGATTCAATTGCAAACGTAATTATTCAACTAGATATTATAATTTTGGTAAGATTTTGTCATTCTTTGTAGTGCTTCATACTGTGGCAGTTAAATGAACGGGAGCCTCTGGATCTTACTTCGATATTTTCCACGTGCAAAACTCTTTGACTTATTTAAAATTAATATAAAAAACATCTCAGGCAAGAGGAACCAGCGGTGGCTAGATTACTTATGAACATGTTATCAGAAAACAATGTGACCCTAAAATGTGAGGTTACACCTCTACCGTCTGTATCCCAATATGTTGCATATGATAAGACGAATCAACAACTCAAGTCGAGGGAAAGAAAATGAAAAGACAGGAGAAACTTGTGCTCTTCATGCTCTTCTGTCTTAGTGAAATAAGGTACTATATTTAGAGAGCTACATGAACCACGATAATGTACTACACAAACGGAGTACACACGTAACTCAGATATGATAACTTCCATTTATCAACCCCGTGGAGATCACATTCTATCGCCTCTTAAAATGTGACCGAGTCCTTTAACTATTTTGCTATTTATTGATAGGGTATTTGCCATCTTTATTTATGCTAAAGGTGTCGTAACTTCTTCCAATCTCCAGTACAACAAAAGCCACAATGCGTTTCAAGCAACATAAATATCTTCCATCTACGGCATATGAGAAAACTAGTTTAACAATCAATTGATACGAACATATCTAGACTATCAGATTATGTATATATTAAGTTGAACATTTGACTCAATTCCAGTCCTAATGAGTTAACTTTATTTTCTTCACTCTGGAATATTCCCACCATTCATAACCAAGAGTACTCGAATATAGAGCATACTCTGCTCCCTCGAGGACTTTGTGAAATTTCCAATAAGTGTTTTATTAACATTTATGTTAGATTTGAGAGAAGATCCTCACAGATTTTCTTTTGAGGAAAAACAGCAGAAAA